CGCCGGAAGATCAGCTTGAATTGTTCTGGGAATCAAATGGCTTTGAGGTAAGATCACTTCCAGGCTTTGACGGTCGAACCATCTTCAACCGGGCAGCGGCTGAGTATTCTACTGAGTTTGGCCCTGACTGGGAGGAGGTGCAGCGTACATTGCATGGGTGCGTCATCTTCGACTTATTCAAAACCTTTCTCATACCACCTGCATGGGTTCGCTCCGAATTGGAGCGCGGGCAACTTGCACGGACGCATCAGGGTACTCTTCACATTACTCGGGCAACGGGTGACTTGCTTCTGGAACTTCTGGAGGACAATGCTGCGGTTATCGCTTTGAGCTACATTGGAAGGGGTAACTCTGATCGATACATCAGATCTTTGATTTCCTCTCGTGTGGCAGCCAAATTCTGCCTGATCGTGATTTGCCATATGAAAGCTGACAAAGGTCGCATTGCGAAGTCTTTGGATCCATCCGTGGCAGTGGACGATTCTTGGGACGTGATCCAGGGCTACCATGCGGTTGCAGTGCCGTGCATCCAGGTCTCAGAGAGACGCCAACTTAGTGATTGCCGCAAGGAGATCTTCGCGCGGATTCGGCAGTATTGGAGCCCGTGAAATATTGTGCAGGAGCGACGGGGTGACTTGCAGGGCGCATGTAGGACTTTCTGGCCGCACTCATGCATGAGTTACCCCTGGCCGCACTCATGCATGTAGGACTTTCTGGCCGCACTCCAGCGGTTCCAGCCAATCGGATTTAGCATTGAAAGGATCATCCCACGTACTAATCCGGGAATACTTGGGTCATAACTACACTCGGGTTAGACCGCATTTGACCATGGTACTTCCAATGCTAAACAGACACTTTCCAAGTGAAATAATATTGCCAAGCAGCCGCAGCCATTGATCAACCACTTACAAAGTCTCCAAGCCAAGCATACCGAGCATCGTGCTCCACTTGGTTGAAATCACGTATTGGATGTAGCGCAATGGTTTCTTCTGATAGCTTGCTTGGACAGGTCCCAATACCCATGTATCTTCGGAACAGTTGCTGGCAATATTGGCTGTTCCAAGAAGCAACCAGAGAAAGAGGGTCTTTTCTGATAGGTTGTTTGCCCGCTGCTAAAAATTAGGTTATATGCATGTGTATATATATATACATATCTATTTCTATCATGGACGCCCCAAACCTTGATTCTTTTGAAGCGTATCTGACTGTTAAACCTTTCTCCTTTTTTTGGCCGCCAAGGATAGTCGTTATCATCCCATGTAAGGAATTTAATTAACCATCATTCCCCGGCAGCTTGACCCTCTTTAAGGTTCACGGATTCCACCCAGCTTCCGAGCGTATCCAATTCCAGCCGGTCTGGTGGTGCCCGGAACCAGGCGGAGCTTCGACCCCAACAAGACCAGAGAGCTCAGGCGCAATTGCGACGACTCGGCCCGACCATGATCCATGGTGATATTAGGATTCCCCGTAACAGAAGATATATGAACCAGGGCATAGAAGAACAGTGGTTTGTTCCCGCTACAGATCCTTCACATGGACAGTAAGACGTTTCAGCGAGGTTTTCCTTTTCCTGGACGCAGTCTCTGTGTCAATTTATAAATTTGGCCAGGTTACACCTCACATCGCCCACTTGAATCAATTTGATTTCCTTATTATCCTGTTTCTGGTCACCTATCTCGAAACATGTAGCTGCAACCATAGAGACACATTAGCTCAAAAGCCTTCTGAGTATCATAAATTTTGAGCTACGTCTTTGTTTGAGTGAACTTTCAGCAGTGATTTTTCTGGTACCTGCCGCTGACGCCGGTGTGACTTTGCCGAAGTTATTCTTGTTGCTCTGAAGGTCAATTAGACACAGAAACAGACAATCCGCATACTCGGCTCCCTCGATCCGCTTTGTATGGCAAGCTTTTGGCGCTTGTAACTTGAAAAATGCTTCATAGGAGTTTTTGAAATATGGCCTTCGCACGCTTCGTGCACGCTTCGCGTGTATACCGCATAAGGACAGGTGTCACAGCTGCGCAACACCCCCACGGAAAGCCATTCAGCCATCAGCAAAATAATGCCCGGGTTTTGCCAGCAGGCAGGGGATAGATTTTCTCATACCTTCCCAGGCAAACAGCCATAGCCAGGCGCGTCGATGGTGTATTCTGTTTCAATCAGCATACGTTAACGCCCCCCAGTTACTCTCAGCTGAGCTTCTCTGACCCCAAAGCACAACAATTCGGAGGGCAGCGACAGTGGCGACAGTGCATAAATTACAGGGATATCACTGACCCGGGGTGGCCTGTGAGTGACGATGAGGTGGCAACTTGATGCACATGAAGTAGAGCCAGCCACCTGCGCCTTGCAAGTGGATTGCGCTTGGCTTTTCGCTTCGTCCATTTTTCCGTTCCCACTCTCTCTCTCTCTCTCTCTGGCTGTACGACCTTGAGCGCAGTGGTCCTACAAGTAGGATTCACCACCTTGGCGGTAGAGTTGGGCGTTTATGTGCGGGGAACGCGCAAGGCCCCCCCTGGTAGATCAGACGATGGTGATGCTACAGCACCGTTGCCAGCTCCCTGGAATAAAGCCTATGCGGCAGGGGAACTTGGGTTTGACCACGCAGAGAGCAGCTGGCTTCGCCGCGCCCTGCATCGTGGCAATGTATCGAAGTTTTTTTTTCAGCTAAGACTAGACAACCAAACGTGCAATGCATTTGCGCTGCCCGTATAGCAGGTGTAGCCAGCGTGGGTCCATTTTTCTTTTATAGTATGGAACCGGCCAGCGTCATTCTTTTTAGTTGCCTAACGGGAATCGTCATGTGCATACACAAGGGCTCACAGATTTCCAGCACAGAAGCGCATCACATCACTGCTAGGAGGCTTCACGCAAGAGCTTTCCCAATTGGTGGCAGAACACATGGCCCAAGATGAATCTGGAGGAGGCCGGGCCGGGCTCTGCTCCGACCAAAGCGACCCATAATGAATAATAACCATTGCTTGCTCAACGTCAACAGGCCCTGCTGGCGCAGACCACACGGACACGTGGCCGGACTACATGAAGGAGTGGTGGGCAAAGCATGCGCAAGCACGAGCGCTCTTGGAGTTTGAGCCGCCGAACATGCCACTTTTCAAGCAGGCCCCCCCAAGCCAATGTCACACGCAAGCAGTTGGTCCGCAGGTCATGCTGTCGCAGCATGTGGGACACCAGTCATCAATTTTGCAGCAGTGGCACCCTGACTGGCTACCGCAGTTGTTTGATGATGTGAACAAGCTGACCGTTCAGAAGGATGTAGGCCAATGCCCCCTGACATTGGCAGAAGAAATTTCTACCTTTCGCAGCAAAGTCGATGAATCTTTTGGGTGGAATGGGAAGGTCTTAGATGAACAGCAGAGATGCCGCAGAGCAGCAGCGCAAACCACCCTACTGCTACTCGACTCTTTGGTGCCATGTCCCTTTGCATTTTTTCACCCTTGACCTCCATAACCAAGCCTGCTCATTCAATGTTAACCTTCTGCGTGTTGTCTGAAGTTGTGGCACTTGTCATGTGGATACATTAAACTTTCACGCCCGGAATCAAAAAGATAAAGACATAGATTGCGTATGCACCCTTTCCTGCCTGGCTCAGCGTTACCTTTGTTCGTTCACCGTCACGCAGCCCCGCTACCAAGATTGCTGAGCACCAGCCCAGACGATGGGAAGTCTGAACTATTGCATTGCAAAGTATTCGCTCTGGTGGCTGGCGAACTCTACCGCAGTCATGGTTGCCAGCTGTTTGAATATGCTAACGGTGCCTGGGCGCCAGCGTCTCTTGGGCTCACGTCCGTCAACCTCGAGTTCATCTTGCAGGCCCTCCGCAGAGCTCAAGCTTACTTTTCCATCATGGCCCACATCAAACCCAAACGACGCTATGATGACATAGTTTTCGAAATCAAGGCAATCCAGCAGGTGGGTATGGAAGAGCTCCTCCTGCAATGGCAACTCCAAGATATCCTTCCGCGAAAGCCCGAAATAAGGGCCCGTGAGTGGCTGCATGGATTGTCTGAACTGTGTCGATCCCTTCGCCACCAGTTTGATGAGCATTCCAGGACCAACCGTGCGTCGCCAAGCCGCTTTCAAAATTATCGTCATTTACTTTGTACAAGGGCGTTTCATCCAAGAGTGCGATTTTAGGTTTTCCTTGGAAAACGATACGGGACGTCCAAAAAAAACGATGCCTCTATTGTTACATGCATCAGTTCCTAGAGTTCTTTGACTTAATTTTGGTCTGTCGTCCTGCTACAGCAACTATTCTGAGCATTTCTGCTCAAGGGTCTGAAGGGCGTCACTTCATGAACCGGTTTGTTCTTGCAAGTGTCACAGGCAATTAGGGATTGTGATTGCTTGTGTTTCGCGGGCTGTGTCGTGGCTCCTGGCTCATGGGCTGGCCCCAGCCTACGAGGAAAGGCTAGGCTCTGGAACAAGGTGCGCGCCTTTGTCCGCCTGTCTTGGTTTGGACAGGGGTTGTGTGCTTGCAGGCAGGTTGATGTCATTAAAAAAGCAAAAAGTCAGCATCATAAAACGATACCCCAAAACGATACCCTAACGATCCCCAAGGGCAAGTCTGCCAAGGTGCAGGCAGGCTTGTGTCTTCTAGTGAAAGAGATCAGATCAGTCAGCAAACGAGCGGCAGAAGCCAGCAAGGAGCTGTCCGTGCTGTTGTCCTTTCTCACTACACAGAACTCGTCACACTTCCAGCAAATGCTCTCAGATCATGAATGATCACGAATAAGGGTTCCTTTGTTTTGTTGTTTGTGCGTTTGTGTTGGTGTTTTGTTTGTTATGATCCGTGACGTTCATTGTTGGCGGCAAGACCCCACCATGCAAAACATGTAAAACATTACACAACGATACGTACTGTGCTCATTCTACCAAACACTGTAAAACGATACGGGACGTCCTAACTTTGAATGAGTACAGCTTTAGTCAGTAATTTAGAAAACTCATATGTATATTATTTTACATTTGTTTGTGCATACATGCGTCTCCAAACGCGGCGCGCGTGTCATGTCATAAGTTGTTCCGTTCCGCAATCTCCCGGGTCCAGTCCCAGGACAATTGTCAAGTGTTTTCAACGTTGGGGTGACGAAGAGATTCGCTTTCAGCAGCAGCCAGGTCTGTGTTTCCAGGATGCCTTCATTTCCACTGTGGATGGCACACCGCAGCAGATGAACAAAGATGCCCGCCATGGTTGTTACATCTCCATTCCAACGCCCTTCTCCCAGACCCCGACCATGGCCACACGTCAGCGATACGCAAGTATCCTGCTGTCTTCTTTCGCAGGGTCTGATGGTCTCCAAGTCTTGCTCAACCAATGTGCCCTGGTGGTGGCCCGGGTCAGACAGCCAGATGTGTTGCACGTCGTCGTCGGCTGTGGCCACGATGGCAAAACTCTGATTTTTGTCGACCACATGCGGGCTGTGTTCGGCAGCGGCTTCCGTTGCGCGCCATGCACAATGCTCCAAGCAGACCGAGAGTTCCAGGTGCAAGGGGTCAATTTCATCCACGCAGCATTCCTCACTTTTGATGAATGCAAGCGAGACCAAGGGCTCGTGGAAGACATTGTCAAGGTCTTTGTCGGTGGTGGCTGGCTCCCTTTGCGGAGAAACCACGAAGCAGAGACAAGATACGGGCATTGGCCCAACACTGGCAAAGTCTGGGCTATGAATGTCGGGGATATCCCCAAGGTGCCAACGGCGGAAGAGGTTTCTCATCGAAGGAGGTTCCGTTGCACCTACATGCGGTCCAAGTTCACCGCGAACCACGATGAGGTGGACGTCGCCAACAGAGTCTTCCAAGCAGACCCCACTGCTAAGGAATTCATGGCCTCTGGGGATGCAGTATGGTGCTTCTTCCAGGACTTTTTGTTCCCTCATCTTCGGGTGACTGGGGTTCAGAAATGCAGTGACAATTTGGAGCACCTCCGGCCAGGAACATGCTTGCAGAAGGACACGCAGTGGCTCCTCCGCAAAATGAGTCGCTCTGATGACAGCCTGCATCCAGACCAAGACCTGCCTTGCGGGCCGGGGGCTCCGCAGCCAGCGTCCAGCGCCGCTGCATCTGCATCCGAGCGCTTGGTCCGAGACACCCACGCAGCCATCCAAAGCCAATTCTTCACGGCAGCCAGAACCTCAGGGACTTGTGCTCCGGACATCTTCCTGTTGGCCGGACCATCACCATGACATGTACTTCTGCGCTACCCTACTTGTGATTCGGAAACCTCGTAACACTAGTTAGACAACTAGAACAAGCGATCCGAGTACCCCACGCATCGCATTTCCTACACCGCTGCTTTGAACTAAGGCTGACGTCAACAGAATCGCTTTGGCTTCCAATCCTGGCGCAGCTCCCCCAAACCGGGCTGGCAAGAAGCTGAGAGTGGAGTGCCTCAAGGAAGCTTTGCCCGCATGTCCACATCTCATTCGCGCGGTGGATGGCGTTGTTCGAGGTGGCAGCCAGACGGGTCGCTTTGAGCGCAGGTGCCTTGACCCCAACAAGTGGCACCGCTGCCTAGAAACATCTGTGGGAGAGACGCGTGTCCAAGAAGTCGCCGGTACTTGGGCAGACTGGGCTTGGCCTTCAGCCGCGGAGACTTCCAATGCGGATGACTTTGATGAACCAATCGGCTTCCCCCAGGGAGACTCTTGGACCATCTCTTGCAGAGTCAATGTGGACGGCCTGCAAAATTTTGGGACCGCTGCGCCCGGAGTCAAAGGACAACATGCCACGCAAGTGGCCGAACAGTGTGCAAGAGATGGCCGCGACGAGGGCGCTGGCATCATGGTTGTTCCATGCATCGGTCATCAAAAAAAGGTTGCCGGAGAATCTCTTGGGAGAGCCTTCTTCCCATGGGTGAGTTTCCCAAGTCTGTCTCGGGCCGCAAGGAATTGCGGTAGCCCTCCGGGAACAAAGGAGTTCGACATGCCAAATGCCGTGGTGCAAGTTGCTTTGGACTTTGCCCGTCAGTATGGGCTGGACTTGCCATGCTTTCGCCGCTACTACGCTTCCAAAGCGGAGTGGCGCAAAGTGGTCATGAGCTGGTTCTCTTTGCCCGAACACGATGCCAAGAAAGCCCTTTTGATGGCCTGCTTCGGCTTTGCTTTTCCATCGCGGGCAACGGGGCTCCCCGTCGCCTGCCCATTGCTAGAAGGTTTAGCAGCAGACGCCATGAAACTGAGAGAGCTGCTATGTCAGAAATTTCCCCAGGTCCTACAAGCTATGAAAGAAGCAAAAAAGCCTCGTCCAGAAACATCTACAATGGCCTTCTTGTTGTTCGACAAGGAACACACAGCTATGCGACAGTTCTGCGACCTGTTGCCTAAACATGGTTTTGCTTTGGTTGGGCCGGTCTTTGACGCAGTGCTCGCTGTGCCAGAAAGGCAGCTCAGCGATGGGGACGACCACACTTCCCGTGAGTTGGCCTTGCTGGCTGATTTTGAAAGCCTGACAGGCATCACCATGCAAGTCAAAGCCTTGGACACTGCCCCGCCGGTTCTCACAGTCCAACGGATTCTGGATGACATTCTGGCCTCGAATCAGGGCATTCGAATGCACAGCGTCGAGCACGTACCTGGATGCTACTCCTGCATCGGAACAGCTCTCCTCAATTTGTTTCCCGAAGAAGAATTTTCCATCAAAGAAGCAACTTCAAACTTGACAGAGCCCATATCTTACCAACGTGCCATGCAGCTGTGCCCTCAGATAGCGATTGAACCCATCTCTTGGGCCCAAGCAAAGCAATGCACTGATGGAACATGCTTCTTGCTGCACACCTCCCATGCTTCGGGCGCAGACATTGGCCATGCATATGGGCTGAAACTTGTTCAAGCGGCCATGCACATCTACAGCTCGACTGAAGAGGAGCGCATTCAGACCAACGCGAGCCTTTTGTTGGACAAGTTGCAGAATGTCCCGGGGATATACATTTTCAACGTCCATGTGCTACCCAACGGAGATCCTGCGGCCAAGCGGCGAAAAAAGGAATACGGAACCTCCATCGAGTTGCAGTTGAAAGCTGGAATGGAATGCGATAGCGAGGAAACCAGCTGGGAACGCCTGAGGATGCAACTGCAAGACAGCATGCGCAAGGAAGTCGACCGGGAAATCACACGTCCAGGACTCAGCTGCACAGTTGAACAGACACTGCTTGGCCACCTATGAACCATGAAGCAACATACCATCATGACCATCATGCATCAAAATCCATCCACCTCAAAACTTCGAGCGCCTCCCAGGGAATTACGCCGGCGTAGACCCCTGATAGCAAGAAATATGTTGCATTCGAAACCTTGTTTTTGTTTCAGGCTCCTCGCACCAATGTCAGCAAGCTTCAGTCCACTAGTTGCAAGCGTGGTATTGGATGGACCAACCGCGCTTCAAAGCTTTGCAACGCCGTTGTTTTGTGAAGTGTTTCGCAACGCTCTTTCTTTGCTGGCTTAAAAGTGTTTTGCATCACAAGGAGCTAGTCCAAGCGCTAACCTTTGCCACTAAAAATGCTTCTCCGCTCCAAAGAATGGACTTCGTGATACGGCAGCAGCGGCAAAGCCAATGCCGATCCAGCAGGGAGACAAATAGGAAAACAAGGCAGCAGCGGTAAAGCCAACACCGATCAAGCAGGGGGAGACAAAGAGGGAGACAAGGCAACAGCGATAAAGCCAACGCTGATCAAGCAGAGAGAGAGACAAGCAGGGGGACGAGCAGGGAGACAAGTAGGGAAACAAGGCAGCAGCGGCCAAGCAAACGCCGATCAAGCAAGCAGACAAGCGGGAGACAAATAGGAGCAGCGGTAAAGCCAATGCCGATCAAGTAGGGGGAGATAAGCAGGGAGACTAGCAGGGAGACACGGTAGCAGCGGTAAAGCCAACGCCGCTCAAGCAGGGGGAGACAAGCAGGGAGACAAGGCAGCAGCGGTAAAGCCAACGCCGATGAAGCAGGGAGACAAGTAGGGAGACAAGGCAGCAGCGGTAAAGCCAATGCCGATCAAGCAGGGAGACAAGATGGGACACAAGGCAGCTGCGGCAAAGCCAATGCCAATCAAGCAGGGAAACAAAGAGGGAGACAAGGTAGCAGCAGCAACGGTCGACCAAAACGCCGATCAGCCACCCACTCATTGAGAAGTAAGAAGCCGTGTAGCTGTCGCGATCGTGGGAAAAACTGACATATCTGCGCATGAAAGCATAGCGCCTCATTGCTCAGCCACGAAGGGATACCTACCAATGGTCCCAACTGCTGTGGTCGTCGCATATTTTCCGCCTTTTCCTCCAGTCGAGTCGGAGCTTCGCTGTCCGAGGTTTACGGAGCGAGGAAGGATGCCTCAACCCGCATGAGACTTACAAGTGCACCTTGTGCCCCTGGAGGAAATTCAGCCGAAGATCTTATTTGTTGACGCACGTCCAGAAGTACCATAAACCTGAAAAGGATTTCGTGACGACCAAGTACCAGTTCCATGTTGCATGCGCCATTTTTGAGCAAAAGCAGGCCTGGAAGCTTAAAACGCGACACTCACTTCCGGATAGCTTTCATTTTTTAGCCCTTGACAGGCGCTCAGCGCTTTGGCCGTCCCATGCGTTGCAGACGAGCAATTGATATGCCAGGCTGCGCAATGCATTCGCACCTGGTCCGACCTCGACCCTGAGTCTTTGGCCTACGTTGCAACTCAAAATTCCATCGACCTGGTTTTGTTGTTGACGCAGGATGGCCCAAAGTATGTCCTCAAGCAGCAAACTGCACCTGCGTTGCGTGTCAACAAGATGCTATACATCACCAATGACTTTGCTGATTTGCTCCTGGCCAAAGCAATCAAGCATAAGGGCAAGATCCACAGCATGTTCAACGACATCACCATGGAATGGGTGTCAAGGGGTAGCCCTTGTGCGTGGCTCGGGTGCCGTCGAGCAGACACGCGCCAGGCTGTTTTTGCTCAGGTCATGGCTTCAACCTCCGTCAAAAACTTGCGGGATGCTTTAGTCAATACGGCCACTGACCACAAGGAATGGCTGGTTTGTAGCCACGATGCCACTTTTCAAGTCCTGTTCAGTGCCATCGGACAGCTACCGATGCAACAGAAGAAAGGTGAATACCACGCACTCCATACCTTTCTGGGGCGTTCCGGGGCCGTGCCGGGCTTCAGCCTCCAGAGCACAGAAGGGCCTGCCAACTTTTGTTCAGCTGTTGCCGAAGTCCTCCCACTCAGCGCCCGGCTCACTGTGCAGTACCTCTTTTCAGACAATCCTGCCTTTGTGGAAGGTGCCAATGCAGTATTGCCAAACCTCGTGGCTGTGGCTGAAGATGCCTTGCATTTAGTGCTGCGCGTCGAAGCCTGCGCAGGAGAGAAACGTACTTCCTTGTCATCGCGCCTCCTCCGGGTCATGAAACGCTTCCGCTTACCTTGCCCAGGACCTTTCTACCACGGTCGCACCAATGACGATGACTGTGATCAAGGGCATTGGTCCGAGGACTTTGCCGAAGAGGATGTACCTGGCGATTGGAATTGGGATGACAGGGTGGTGAAGCCATACTCAAGCCACCAGGAATACATTGATGACATCCAAGTGCTCTGCGCTCAACACTTCGACCAGATGCACAAGAAAGACAAGAAGGGCCGTACAATCGAGCAGATCTTGCGAGCCGGTGTGTCCTACAAGCATTTCCGTTACCTATGGAACGGCTCCCACATCATAGAAGCCCTCCACCATGCCATGGACCCGAAGGAAGTGGAACTCCTCAGCTTTGGCGCCTGCAGCAACGAGGCTTTACATTTCCAGCTCAAAGCCTGTCAAGAGCAAATCATCCAACAGCACATCCAAACCTTTCCTCCGCAGCTGGAAGCATTCAGCTTGGCAAAGCTGTTGGCGCATCATTCGGCCGCGTACCACCCAACTTTGGCGCAGAGAAAGGAATCAGAAATCTTAAGTTTGATGCAAGGTCGTTTGATCAAAGGGTTTCTGCCACCCTTGGAGGAGAGGCAGATTGGACCAACCCTTTGCAGAGAAGCCTTGCGCAAGCCTGTGCATAGCTTGGATCCCAGGAAGGTTGCAGCCAGGAAAGCCTTGAAGGCAAAGAAAGCCGAGCAGTGGCAGAAGGAAGTGAAGAACAGGAAGCTGAAGCATCCACATCGTGCAGCACAACCAAGTTCACCGAAAAGAACCGTTTTTACGCAAAAGAAGTGCCTTGGCAGAAGACTGAGCCAAAAGTATTGCCATACTACGAAGAACAACCACCGCTAAGCCAAGCCACAGCATAACCATGGCACTAAAAAACAACGCCTATGCCATGCACTTTATGCAAAGAGCACCTGATGTGAACCTAGGCGGCCAGGTCGTCGTGCGCAAGGAAGCGCCGCTTCTTCCACGGCTGAAGCAGGGTGAGGTGAGCTTTCCATTGTTCGGCCAGGGGCAAGCGTCTATCGCACCAACACTATAATTACATGCGCATATAGCTAGAAGGTGGCCTCATGCGTCTGTTTTTGTTTGATTTCTCAGTCGTTTGCGTTTTGGCTTCTTGGATGTGTGGTATATCTGTAGTATTACCCTCTCGTGTGCGTCTTTGTCAAACATGTCTATAAGACTCACATGTTTGGAGCTGCCTTGTACCCACTTAACCATTACAGGCCGCGATGACGTTTCAATCCTACGGATGTTTGCATTTCACACGTGTCGACGCTGAACGGTGTGTTCGGTAAGTATATGAATACAGACTAAATTTATATAAGTTTATGCTTGCTCACTGTTTCCACCCAGTGCGCTGTGGAATATGATTGCGCATGCGTGTGCGTTGCAAGTGCATCCCATATTTCTACGCGACTTTGTCAATGCCTGTGCGCAGTTTACGCTGTGCTAAACCTGGGTCAAATATTGCAGAACAAGTTGTTTAAACACAATAGTTGGAAAGCTGCAAAAATTGTGCCTTTTTATTTTCCAGTGGCATTAAGTCCTCTCCTTTGGGCCGCCAACTAGTTACTAGTTTCTACACACAAATCGAGATCGACGACCGGACGATCAGAAGCACACGCAACTTTTTCCGCTCAACGGACACGGGGTATGTAAGTGCACACGGGGTATGTAAGTGCACGTGTTTCACACGTCCTGAAAAGACTTTCACAAAGTTGCATGACGTTTCCGACTTCGGGGTCGCATTTTTCAGCATTACCTGTGTAAGCTTGCACTTAGAAAACCAGATATATCTGATATATATATATAT